TCCAGCCGCCGGCCCGGCCATGACCGAGACGGCGCCGCCGGGGGAATGGCCCCCCCTGGTTGGAACGACAGTTCGACCTGGGTGACTCCGCTGCCGCCGCCCGATTTTGGGAGGGGCGTCTTCCGACGCCGATGCCCTTGCTGGCCTAGGTTGGCGGGGGCGGTCGGGGGGCGGGGTCTCGCTGCAGGGCGGATCGTCGGCCGCGCGCTGTCAAACTGGTGAATCGCGTTCTCTCGTGCCTGAACTGGATGGCGGGCACCAAGGGCGCGGGCCGATCGCCGAGCCCAGGCGCATCGACGCTCGGCAAGCACGCGGCCCCTAGCGGCATCTGCTCTGCGAAGCTCATCGGCGCCAAGCCGCAGCTCCAGAAGCGACGCCGAAGGCGGGGGCGGCCCTGCGGGAGCTGCTCCGGGGGCAGTTCGCGCGCGAGACGGACGCGGGCCGAGGGACTTCGTCTCCCGCTGAGACGGCCGGGCCTCGGACCCCTCGCCGAAGAGGAGCCCGAAGTCCCGCCGCTCGCTCGCGCGCGAGCTGGCGGAGAGAGGGCTTCTTGGAGCGACGGCTCGGCCCACCGAGTCAGTGGGTATATTTTTCGTTGCCAAGTCGACCAGCTCGCAGAGGGCGATAGTGAGCGCCCAGCGAAGCAATGCGCATGTCGGGGCGCCGCCAGGGCGGCCGGCGCGGAGGCCCACGAGGCTGGAACGCTCGGCGCGGGTTCGCTGCGCCAAGTACCCCGACAGGTCTTTCTTGCCCTCGGGGCCGGCCGACGCCAGGGTGGCGACGCCCTTTTGCAAGGGCCTGGGGCGCCGGGCATCCAGCTACTTCACCGCGGCGCCCTCCAGCAGCGAGCAGAGCAGCCTCGAGGAGCAGACGGGCGGCCCAGGTGGTTTGGTTCCCGAGGTACGTGGTGGAGCTGCCCCCAGAGGCCTGGGCTGCCGCGACGTGGCGCCTGGTGGAGGAGAAGCCGTCGGCCAGGACAACGCTCGTCGTGGACGGCTGGTCAGCCTGCTCTCGGCCCTCTTCCCCGCCGGCGGCGCGGCGGCGCGACCTGTTGCCGCCCTCTCGCGGGGCGCCGGCTTTCAAATGCGCGGGCGTCTGCAAGCGGGGCCGCGCATCAGAGGAGGTGTGGAGACGGGGCCGTTGGGCTCGGCCCCAGAGCATGCGCCGCCGCGAGCATTGCAGCCGCCTGAAAGCCCAGTACAAGAACCACCCGGCACAACGCAGACTGCGGTGCGAGGCGCGCGGGCCCCTGCAGAGTATCCTTCTGAGTCTTGCCCACCTGGCAGTCCTGCCGCAGGGGCCGACCCAGGAGCCTGCCCGCTCGGCGTTTGCCGTGCTTGCGCGGAGGATATCCTGTTGACTTGTCTGCAAGAAGTAGGTGCGTATCAGAGTCTGCCGAGGCCCCGAGTCTCAGGGCCTGGGGCCGGGACGCGTTCCACGACCCAATTCGCCGAGATCTGCTCGACAGCCGCGTCGCTCGGGCCATCGGGCGGGAAGGCCGGCGCAAGGGGATTTTCGCTGCCTCGCCGGCGCCCCGGCGTCAAGCTTTCTCGATTGCGCGGGGCAGGGCCGGCGAGATCAGATCTGGCGACGCGCCCCTGGGCCCCCCCCCCACGTTACAGGCTATCAACAGAAGGCGCAGGGATGGTAGAGCTCGGGAATCGTTTGGCCCGCGACGCCCCAGCTCACTTCGCCTTTCTTCTCCAAGCTCAGACTCCGGCTAATCTATAGCGCCCGCTCACCTCTCGGCTGTGGCGCACTCGTGAGATGCAATTGCTTGCTCGCCAGGCTAATGCGGCCCTTCTGGAGTTGGGCCAATGTCAGTTCCAGGCCGCGCGCAAGAAGCCCACTCGCCTTATGTTCTGTCACGTGGGAGAAGACGACCTCCGCAACCACTGCAGAAATACAGTGGGGCTCGGTTTCTGCTATCGAACGGGCCGCCCGCATCTTCAATTTGAGCAGTCGCCCCGCTGCCGCGTACCCGCCTGAACTCGCTGACTGCATTGTCAGGGCCCTCACGGGCTCCACCGTTGCAGGCTGTGGTTATTACAATCCCCCCACCCTACCCGCACTTAGGGAACTCCCGAAGTTGAAATTGAGGAGAAGTGAGAGTCGTTGATGTGTTGGCGCTAACCTCTGGCCTAGACGTTTCGAGGATGTCGACAGAATTGTCTCTACATTGTGGAAAAAGTTGGTTCTACATGTTCCCGGAAAAGGGCCTCGGCCCGGGGTTCTCTTTTAGTTTTGTTTACCCCCGGTTTCGACGGCTGTAGGGCCGGCGGCATTTCCGCTCGGTTCCATAAAAATCGAGGTGATGTCCAACTCGGCGTGAAAAGCATGCGTTTGGCGCGTGCCCGCGCGAGGAAAGTCGACCCCCCCATTCCAGATCCTCGATAAATAACGAGGTCCGCGGACCCCCGATTTCCATTTTCATAGAAATCGAAGTGAAGTCGATTGCGGCGCGGGAAGTGCGTTTCGTGCGTGTCCGCTCGAGACAAGTCGACCCCCATTTCGGATCCTCGATAAACAGCAAGGTCCGCGGATCCCCGTTTTCCTATATTAAAACGAAGTAAAGTCCAACACGGCGCCGAAAGCGTGAAAATGGTGAGCTTTTCCCGGAAAGGGTTTAGGCCCAGGGTTCTCTTTTAGTGTTGTTTGCCTCCGATTTCCACGGCTGTAGGGTCGGCGGTATTTCCGCTCGATATCAAAAAAGCAATGTAAAGTCCAATTCGTCGTGAAAACATGCGTTTCGCGCGTGCCCGCTCTAGTAAAGTCGACCCCCCACCTCGCATCCTCTAAAAATACGGGGTCCGCGGACTCCCGTTTTCCTTGAATAAAAACGACGTGAAGTCGATTTCGGCGTGAAATTCATGCGTTTCGCGCGTGCCCGCGCGAGGAAAGTCGACACCCCCATTCCGGATCCTCGATAAATAACGGGGTCCGCGGACCCCCGTTTTCATGTATAGAAAACGCGGCAAAGTCCAACGGTGCGCGGAATGCGTGAAAATGTTGAGTTGTTGCGTGCCCGCTCGAGGTTGGTCCCCTGCCTCCCTCCCCGAGATGATCGTTCGTTTTCTTTTGGCACTCACCTCGGTGGTGCGCCCCCCGCGTCAAACAATCGAGGATGTCTTTAGCGAAACGCTCGTTTTCAAAACATGAGGGACCTGGGCGCCTCAGCTTGCCCCAGGAGGCCCTGGGAGCGCGGACGCGGCGTAATCTACAAGGGATCGTGGCGTTTGGAGCGCGGACCACGCGTAATGTGCGAAGGATCGTGGCCCTCGAAGCGCGGGCACAGCGTAATTTACAAGGGCTCGGGGCCTGGGGAGCTCGGACGCCATGCAATTTACAACGGCTCGTAGCCCTCGGAGCGCGGGCGCAGCGTAAAATACAAGGGGTCGGGGCCCTTGGGGCTCGGATGCCGCGTAATTTACAAGGGATCGTGGCCCTGGGAGCGCGGACGTAGCGTAATTTACAAGGGGTCGGGGCCCTTGGAGTGCGGGCGCAGCGTAATTTAGGAGGGGTCGGGGCCCCGGGAGCGCGACCCCAGTGTAATCTACGAGGGATCGGGGCCCTTGGAGCGCGGGCGCAGTGTGAATTATCAATGTCCGTGGCCCTAAGAATTCGGACGCAGCGTAAATTACTTAGGATCGTGGCCCTTGGAGTGCGGGCGCACCGTAATTTACGAGGGGTCGGGGCCCTGGGAGCGCGACCCCAGTGTAATATACGAGGGATCGGGGTCCTTGGAGCGCTGGCGCAGTGTGAATTGTTAAGGTTCGTGGCCCTAGGAATGCGGACGCAGCGTAATTTATGAGGGGTCGTGACAGCTGGAGCGGGGGCGCAGCGTGATGTTGGACCTCGTCTCGGTTGGTACTGCTTCGGTTCGTCCTGTCTCAGTTCGTCGTGTCTCGGTGTGCCGCGTTTCGTTCCGTCCTTGCTCGGTGCGTTCGTTCTTTCTTTGGATTCGCCCCCTCTCGGTTCGTCCCGTTTCATAATTCAGTCGGAACTTGAGCTCGCCAGCACGGCACAACGTGGCGCATGACAGCGCGCATTGTTGGCACGTCTATTTCGTGGGGTGGTTCGTGGGATGTTTCGTGGAGTGTTTCGTAGGGTGTTTCGTGGGGTGTTTCGTTTGGTGATTCGTGGGGTGTTTCGTGGCTGTTCGTTGGGTGTTTCGTCAATTGTTTCCTAGCGTGCTTCGTTCAGTGTTTCTTGGTGTGTGTCGCGGGGTGCTTCGCAGGGCGTTTCGTGGGCTGTTTCGCGTTTCGTTTCGTCCAGCATTTCGCAGCACGGCACAGCGCAGCGCAGCTTCTGGCATGGTGCCATCACCATCGATAGATTCATCATTGTTACTGTCCATCGCCCAATCTAGGTGTCTCGAAACGTTTCCATGCTTCACATGTCTATATCCCTTTCCGGGTTCGTGGGTCCAGGATGATTTCGAACGGCTTGAGTTGAATTACTTGAGCGCAGTGATCCCTCCGCGTGTCTGCACCATCTGCCCAGGATCCGTGGGTTTCAACATCGGCCAATATGTCTCTTAATCTGCTCTCCTCTCCCTCTTTCTCCATAGCTTGTCTTCGGCTCCCACCCTCCCCGTCTCCACCCTGGGAGGAGTGAGGGTCGTTTTTCATTTGACTCTCACCTCTGTCCTAGACGTTTCGAGGCTTTCGTCAGAATTGCCCCTGAATTGTGGAAAAAGTGGGCTCTAATCCAAGCAAGAACATGCGGTGGCGGATGGGTTAATACCCCCCTTTCCGATGTCCTGACCGGTCCTCCTTCCTCCTCTCTGTCTCCCCCTTCATGTTCTAGTATCCTATATTATCATCCCTCTTCCTGCCCTTGTGGTGAAATAGAAGTAGACTGGAAACCCATGTCTCGTGGCAGCCAAGTGATTGTCCCGCGCCCTTGCCACCATTCCGTCGCCATGTCGGCTGAAGTTCCAAATTTGGGTTGCCTGCCCGACTCCGCGACCCCGCGGGACGCCGACCTGGGCCCACATAATGAAGATGACCTCTCTCTTGCTATTGACCCTGGCGGCCACTGCCGCGCCGTCCGCGGCCGGCAGCCCGGTGGCGAAGGTCATCGAGATGTTGTCTGGCCTCCAGGCGAAGGTCATCTCGGAGGGAGAGGATCGATCGAGGAACAACGAATTTGCAGAAGTTTAGTTGTCGGCCCTGTCGCCTGTCGCCTCGCTGTTCGTTTTTCCCTCCGTGTTCGTATCCCTGTCTCGTCGTCTACCGAATATTGTTGACCGGCATGGGGTTATCCCTGAGCCGACACCCGTTTGTAAGTTTTCGGATGGCCGCGTAGATTTCTTGGGTCGATTCTGAGCCCTCCTCCGCACCCCTGGCAGCCCTTCTGGCGCTGCCCCTGGCGCGCTCCGCGTGCCGGGGAAGTGGTGCGGGATGAGCGTGCAGCGATGATCCAAGAAGCCCGCGCGGACATTTTGATGTTTTTGTTTGTGCAGTAGTTTGGCCCTTCTAGAGGAGTCGCACGCTGTCTTCGCGAAATTCTCTGAGTGGTGCGAGGACGAGGCCCGCGAGCTTGGCTTCCAGATCAAGACGTCCCAGGGCGAGATCGCCGACCTCAAGGCGACTATTGAGAAGGAGGCTGCCAGCATCGCGGGGTACGAGGCCAAGATCGAGGAACTCGCCGCGGAGCTGGCCCTGGACGAAGCGGATTGGAGGAAACAGGAAGGCATAGAGGACACACGTAGAGGAAACAGGAGGAGGAGGAGGTGGAGTGCAGAGGAAAGAAAGTTGGCAGGGCAGAGGAAGGAAGAGTAGTGTTAACATCATATAGAAATCAGTTCTCACATAATCGCTGGCATGAATTTGCAGCGTGCACTGCGCAAGCGCTGACGCGAGGCGGACCTGAAGGCTGCCACCGAGATTCGCTCGAAGGAGCAAGCCGACTTCTCTGTCGATGAAAAGGAGCTGATGGAGGTCATCGACACCCTCAAGAGGGCACTCGCCATCTTGGAGAGGGAAATGGCCAAGATCGGCTCGGCCTCCATGCTTCAGGCTCATTCCGCGCTCAGTCATGGACCCCCCTTGCCAAATTCAACCACGTGGCTTTCACACGGAAAACCGCCAAAGACCAGCGAGTACCATTGAAGACCGCCGAGCACCACCGAAAGCCAGATGGGCAACAAGTGGTCCATGGCCGAACGCGCAAGGTTCAAAGTGCCAAGTCCGTCGCGCAGGCGCTGACCGCCATGGTGCAGGCCTTCGGGCGACGAGATCTGACATATCCACGGCCGCAGGCCTGGCCCATCCTGGGCCCAGGAGCGATGCATCTGCCTCCCTGGCCAAGCCAGGATGGCGTATACACCGCCCCTGGGCCCAGGGTGGGCCTGGCGGGGGGCAGTGGCTACGTATATCTGGTTCCCGTCGCCTGAGGCCTCTCTGATCAGCTCCACCGACGCCAACAAGCTGTCCTCGCTGGTGCAGTCCGCGCAGGCGTCCGGCGAGGAGGACGGCGACTCGGGCGCACCAGACGCGGCCGTGTACCAGGGCCATGCCGACGGCATGGGCCGTGAGAACGACGGTGGCATCATCGCGGTCCTCGAAGATCTGCTCCAGAAGGCGGAGGCGCAGCTGGACGGCTTGCGCAAGGCAGTGGGGCCATAACGGGGTGCGCTGTTGTCCCTACATCCAAGACGCTGAACTACAGACCACTCTGGGCCCAGGAGGGTTTCAGGCCGTTCCTTCGATCTAGGTCCGGACCTATTCGTGGCCGAGGCTCGCCTTGGCCAGAAAAGGCTGTTCAGTTCACACGTAGCTTTCATTATGGCAGCACGGTGAATGTACCCCCTGGGGGACTCATCGACGATGTGTTCATGGATTACCCGACGGGTGTAGGGAACAAGGCTCCCCCAGTCGTGGCCGATCGGCACCAGGCGGAGACGTCGTCCCTCCAGAACTTCCAGGTGCTGTCCCAGAACCTGAGGGACGAGATTCAGAACGGCAACGCGGACCTCGCCGAGGCGAAGAAGGGCATGGCGGCAAGCGGCAGCGCGAAGGCGGAGGCCGAGGGCGACCTCTCGGCCACCTCGGCAGACCTTGCCGGCGATGAGGACACCAAGGCGACCCTGCACGCAAATTGCATGGACAAGGCGGAGACCTTTGAGGCGGAGCAGAAGAGCCGCGGCGAGGATCGAACAAACCAAGCACGCATGAACATACATTGTCGGAGCTTCGCGCGAATTTCTTGGATGCGCATTGGACCCCCTGTCGGCGCTAGGGAATGGGGGGTCCAGCACCGATCCCAGCAACCCGCGCGGACCTCCGAAACGTTAGCCTAACGTTTCGGAGGTCTAACGCTACGTTAGGCCCATGTGTGCTGTTCTTTTTCCAGAGGAGCTGAAGGCGCTGGCGGAGGCCAAGAAGGTCCAGTATCGTTCAACCGAGCCCCCTCCCCGCTGGGCCATGGTATATCAGCCCAACCAGCCCACCCTCCTAGTTGGGGATTGGCCTACCCCACTCTAGGTGAGGATTGGCCTGGCCCCACGAAGCCCGAAGAGACAGGCATGTGTACCCACCTTGGTAAGTTAGTGCGGCGAAGGCCACGCCAGTGAGGAAAGGGATCGGTTGAACGATGCTCAAAGGTCCTCGTGGAGACGACCACCGGGGCGGACGCCCAGAGCTACTCGCTGCTGCAGACCGCCTCCGCCTCGGAGCTGACTGGCGGCGCGGACCTCGCGCGCTACGAGGCCGTGCGCTTCGTGCAGGGCCTCGCGCAGAAGCAGAACTCCACTGGCCTGGCGCAGCTGGCCATGCGCATGGCGTCCGTCGTCCGCGTCAGCGGCGCCAGCGGCGACGACCCCTTCGCGAAGATTAAGGGCCTGATTCTAGAGGCTTGCGCTCCGCCGCCGATCCCCAGCAGGGGAGGGCGGGGGCTTTGCGGTGGCGGTCGGGGGGCTTCATTCCCTGCAGCCTGTCCCGTTTCCTCCTCCTACTTCTCCTCCTTGCGTGGTACTTCTCGTTGTCCTTGTCGTGTCTCTGGTCGTCGCCAGCATCGCCGTCGTCTTCGTCATCGTCGTCCGTCGACGTCTCTTCCAGTCACGTGACCAAGGAATTCTCGAGAAAATTGAGGAGGAACAGGAGGAGGAGGAGGAGGAGCAGGACAGGGATGAAGCGGATAAGGATCAGGAGGAGAAGGTGGGCGAGGAGCAATAGCAATGATCGCCCTTGAGCATGCTCGTTCTCGGCCGAGGGCCGACGCATTGCAGTTTCAGCGCACGTTGCCTTTCGGCTCCACTTCCCCATCCCCCCTCCTCCCTTCTTGCATTTCGGCTGCTTCTTTTGTTCCGACCGGGGAAAGTCGGGGACGCAGCCTAATACTGCCTAGCCTGTGTGTTCCTCCTCCTTGTCCTCCTCCTCCTCGTTCCTCCCCCCCATGCCCAGCATGCGTCCAGAGCGATCGTGATTTTGCCTCTGCTACGCTCGGCGTTGCGATCGGCTGTCGTTGTAGTTTATATAAGCGGTTGGACGCCGCAAGGGTTTCGCACACAATGCATGTGGTCGAGAGTTGCTGGCGCTGCGAGTGGTGGTGAATTCTGTCCGATTCGTTACCCTCCGCTTCCCTCCTGCTTCCCCCCCCCCCGACAAAAAAAATGCTCCAGATTCCCGTGACCCTCCAATTTCTCATCCTCCACGCCCCTGTTTCCGTGTTGCTAACCCTCGTGTTGATTACCTTTTCCCTGCATATGGTGTACCTCTTCAAAGTCTGGCTGTCCCCCTAGCCCGTAGCCATCGTGATGCGCTCTTCGTCACCCTCCTGCTGATGATTTTCCTTTTCCTCCCCCCTTCCATCATCAGCGTCACCATCAGCATCAGCATAACCATACTCATAATTCGAAACATACTTGTCGTCATCATCCTCATGCTCATCATTGCCATGATCATCAACATGATAATGATGGTCGTCAACATTGTCATCATTATCAGCCCCATGCTGCTCCTCACCCTCATCCTCTTCGTATGTGGGATCACGCTAACGGAGAGCAACCGTGAATAACCAATTGTCCGGCACTTGGTACGCGACGCGCAAGCAGTGAATTGGCAGTTCGCAGCAGTGAGCAGCACTGACATGCTCTGATCAGCGATGCGTAACAGTGGGCAGTTTCCTTGGCCAGCACTGGTTGGCCTTGAGCAGCACTCACTGGTTAGGCAGCGAAGAACGGGCATCTAAGGACAACAATGAACATATTTGAACAGCTTGGAGCGCGCAGTGAACACCGATGTCCATCCGTGTACAACAGTACGCAGCAGCGCTGAGCAGCAGTGGACATCAGAGAAAACCATTGTTCTGCAAAGCAGCTGTGGGAAGCAGTGAGCACCCAGTGAGCAAGCAATGAACTAGTATTGATCAAGCGCTGCGCAGCAGTTAGCACTAGTGCACTAGTGCGCAGCAGAGCGCACCAGTGGGTTGAGGTCAGCCGAAAGCACCAGCGAACACCAAAGAGCCAAGCGGAGCAAACAGCAAACAACAGCGCGCAAGCATTGGACAGGCAGTTACCACAACTTACCCAGAGGCGATCCGCAATGAGCAGGCTGTGGACAGCTGCGAGCTATCAGAGAAGAAACGGTGTGCCGACACCGCGCAGCAATGGTGCAGACACCATCCGGCTAGCGATTGCCAACGGCGAGCCATTGCAGGTATTCTCTGACGGCGGGCACAATGGTGAGGCTGGGGCTTACGGTGTCCAGGTCATCGTTCATCGTGCGTACGAGACACGCGTGGTGGGCTACTTCTCTGTCTTCGTACCTGACGTTATCTCCGCGTTTCAGATGCAGTCTCTAGGTCTGGACACGGCGGTTGGGCTGATAGCAGAATTTGTCCAGGAGGGCAGGAACAATAGGAGAAAAGTGATGTAGACTGGCGGCGTGCTACCGCAACCTGAACGAGGGCGCGTTTCGGCAAAAAGAAAAGAGGCGATCACCCGTAATCAACGCTGGTAAGGTTTGCGCAACATTGATCAGAGGTGAGCAAGTAGCGCGCAGCAGATTTCACCGGGCAGCAGCAGCAAACACAAGTGACTAGTTCGGAGAAGCGCTGACCAGCGGCGAGAGCAAGCAGTGAGCAGCATTGACCAGCACTGCGCAATATGAAGCAGTGGTGGGGAATCAAGAACCAGCGAAGAACACAACCGAGCAGAGCACCAGTGCGCGCCAGCGATGCGCACTTATCAGCATTGCGCGGCCGTGAAAAAACAGCACTCCGCGGCGGTGGACAAGCTATAATCAGCAGGGAGCACCAGTGTGCAGAGGAGCAGAGGACACCAGATTGGTAAGCAACCAGTGATCAGCAATGGCTGTCAAATGACAGCGTCAAGCAGCAATGATCAGGGATGTTCTGTTGTGAACAGCAAGGAGCAGCAACGAGCAGACATCGAGGATGCATTGGGCAGCAGTGCGCAAACAACGATCAACAGGGATCAGCTATGAACAATCAGCGAACGGCCATGGGCGATCACCGCGCAGGCAGTTACGCTGTTCAGCGCTGCTCACCTATTGCGCGCTATTTGCTGACACATTGCCATTTTGTGTTCACTGGTGCTCACGGCTTCCCCGAAGCGTGCCCATTGAGCGGTCGTTGTTTGCCCGCCTTTCATTGAATCGCTTCGCTCATTCCGCCGACCCATATTGCCTCGCCGCTGTCGTTTGTCGGGGTGTTGTTGGCAATGCGGTGCCGTTGGGCAGCTGCCATTTGTCGGAGGCGGTGGGAACACTTCGCCGTGCCTGGGTGTTGGGTCAGAGGCCTCATGGATGTTGGTTGGGCTGTCGTGGTTGGCCTATCGGGGGCCTCTGGAAGGCAGTTTTGAGGCCTCTTGTTTGGGGCCTCTTGCGGGGCTCTTGGGGCTTCTTGGGGTGTCTCTTGGGGGCCTCTTGGGGTTCTCCTGGGGGCATCTTGGGGACTTCTCGGGGCCCTCATGGGGCCCCTTGGGGCTCTCTCGAGCCCTCTTGAGGCTCTCTTGGGAGGCGTCTTGTTGGCCTCTTTGGCGGTCTTGTACACGTCGTGGGCCGTCTGGAAGCCATCGTGGGCCTCTCGGACCGATCGTTCGAAGACTCGGGGCCGATTGGGCCGTGTAGGGGGCGCCCCGACGCCCTCTTGGCGCGCTCATCGAGCGCCCTGGGGGAGTCAGCCGGGCATCGCCCGGGCATCGGCGGGGGTATTTTTCGTCCAGGGGTCCGCAGGGGCCGCCACGCGCGCGTGAACTAGAGATATGGTTAACCTGCTACCAGAGATCTTAGCACGCCTCTGGCCCTTTGGGCCAGCGAATTCATTGATTGCTCAGATGTCCTCCACCGCCTATGATTGGTTCGCTGCTGCCCCATCTGCGGCAGTGGTTTTCACTGTTTGCCCATGCTGACTCTGAATACCACTGCGCAGTAGTGTTGCGGGGCACACGCATCCACGCTGATCCTTTCTAAGGGGTATGATATCTTGACCCCTTCTGTGGTGGACATGCAGTCTGTGAGGGGCTGGCCAGTTAACAACAGTTTTCTGCAGCGGCCCACAACTAAAGGCACACCAGTTTTCTGCAGCGCCATGTCATCGAGGGGTTGGAAAGGGGGATCAGGCGAGGCCGTCACTCACGGGGCATGGCTGACGCAGCATAGTGGCGCGCACGACCAGCAATCGTGATGAACCTGTTTGAGCGTGCGCCAAATACGTCACAATCCTGCTCAGCACTTGTACTTGTCCTTTCCCTTCACTTGCTCTCCCTTGGCGATTTGCACCCTCGCCGGCGGATTTCCGGCATGATCGAGAAGTTGGAGGCGGAGGTCGCTGCGGACGCCGAGCACAAGGCTTTCTGCGACAAGGAGCTGTCCGAAAACGAGGAAAAGGAGGCCGACAAGATCTCGGAGATCGAGAAGATCACCTCGAAGATCGACCAGTGGACCGCCAGGTCCGCGCAGCTGAAGAGCGAAGTGGCGGCATTGCAGGAGGGACTCGCGGCCCTCGCTTCGAGCCAGGCCACCATGGATAAGATCCGCGGGGAAGAGAAGGCACTGTACACGAAGAACCGAGCCGAGATGGAGCAGGGCCTCGAGGGCATCAAGCTCGCTTTGAAGATCCTGGGTGAGTACTATGCCAAGGACAAGGCGCACGTTGCCGCGGAGGGCGCTAGCGCTTCCATTATTGGCCTCCTGGAGGTGATCGAGTCCGACTTCTCCAAGAACCTCGCGGAGATCATCTCCACGGAGGAGTCCGCAGTTCAGGAGTACGAGGAGACGTCCAAGAATAACGCCGTCGACAGGACCAACAAGGAGCAGGACGTGAAGTATAAGAGCCAGGAGGCGGCCAACCGCGACAAGGAGACCGCAGAGGCGAAGACGGACAGGACGGGCGTGCAGAAGGAGCTCGACGCCGTGCAGGCGGTGGGGAGCCATCCAGAATCTCGAACCCCAATCACTCGAACCTCGGAGTCCGCTCGAAGTCGGCCCATCCTGGCCAGTTTTGCGAGCCGCGCGCGTCCGTGGCGACGAGAGCCCCCGCAGACGACCAGGAACTCCCGAAGCGAAGACGCTGTCGTCGTCGCGCAGGCGGTTCTGAAGAGCCTGCATTCGCAGTGCGACGAGACGACCACGCCCTACGAGGAGCTGAAGCGCCGGCGCGAGGCTCGAAGACCAAAATAGATTCACGAGCATCACTGTCTACACTCCATGCAGCGCCTCGGGCGCCGCCCCTGGCGCACTCCGCGCACCCCCTGCCCTTCCTTGGCGCGCGGAGCGCGCCAGGGGCTGCCCCGGAGGCGCCGCCTGGGGTGTCCAGCGCGGGTCCAAGAAATCCGCGCGGACCTCCGAACGCGTTTTCGATTATCCGTTTTTTTCCCGGAAAGGGCGCCGGCCCAGGGTTCTTTTTTCGTTGGTAAACCTGTCCCCGGTGCCTCAACTGAGGTGGGCCGGCGGATTCTTCCCCTGATAAATATCGAGGTCGAGGTGGGCCGGCGGATTAAATTGTGAGGTTGTCTCGAGCGAGACGCTTGTTTTTCAGAATTTGTTGAGGATGTCTCAAGCGAAACACTTGTTTTGTGTTATTGATCGTCCTCTCCTGGGGACCTGAATTCAGAGGATCTCTCAAGTGAAATGCTTGTTTTCACGTGCCCAGGTCTTGAGGATGTCTCGAGCGAGACGCTTGGTTTCACGCCTCCAGGTGGCCCAGACAGATGTCTAGCATGAGGATTTGTTGAGGATGTCTCGAACCAGAGGCTTGTTTTCACGTGTCCAGGTCGCCCAGGCGGATGTCTAGCATGAGGATGTGTCGAGGAAGTCTCGATCGAGACGCTTGTTTGCACGTGTCTAGGTTGCCCAGGCGGATGTCTAGCATGAGGATGTGCTGAGAACGTCTTGAGCGAAACGCGTGTTTTCACGTGTCCAGGTCGCCCAGGCACAGCACAGCCCTCGGCACGGTACATCAATATCGACACCCTTAGCATTGCAGCCTGGCGTGTTGCTTGGCACGTTCCGCGGAGCGTCCCGTGGCGAGTCCCCCTGGCACGTTGCGTGGTGCACGTCCATTGGCACGTTCTGTAGCCCGTCCCCGTGGCACGTCCCGCGGTTCGTGCCCCTGGCACGTCCCCTGGCACGTCGCCTGGCGCGTCCCTTGGAACGTTCCGCGGCGCGTCCTCCTGGCATGTCCCCAGGTCGATGAGTTCTGGGGCAGCTACCATCTGTTCAGGCAGCTCGAGCTGAAGATCCAGATCAGTTCGGTCAGGACTCGGATGCAAAGAGGACTCGATCCACAACGCTATATATAGAGAGCACAATCGCGGCATGGCACATCGCAGTTCAGCACGGCCAGCACAGCGCAGCCGTCGGCACGGTATATCAAGATCGATACATTCAACATCGCATCTTGGCACGTTCCTTGGGGCGTTCCTTGGCGAGTTCCGTAGCGCGTCCCCTGGGACCCGCGGTGCGTGCCCATGGCACGTCCCCTGGCACGTCGCTTGGCGCGTCCCTTGGTCAGCGGCCCCCAGACCGATGGAGAAGCCACAGCCAAACCTCATATGATGACCCCTCTTGGTTCTTGAACAAATTATCCCAGTGCGACCCTACATAGGAGTTGGAGCCCCTAGGAACGCAGCATTAGTAGTAACAGTAAAGCTAAAGCTAAGTTAAAGCTAAGCTAAAGCTAAGCTAAAACTAAGCTGAAGCTCAGCTAAAGCTAAGCTAAGGCTAAGCTAAGGCGAAGCTAAGGTTTAGCTAACACTAAGTTAAAGCTAAGCTGAAGCTAAGCTGATGCTAAGCTAAAGCTAAACCAAAGCTAAGCTAAAGCCAAGCTAAAGCTAAGCTAACGCTAAGCTAAAGCTAAAGCTAAGCTAAAGCTAAGCTAAAGCTAAGCTAAAGCTAAGCTAAAGCTGAGCTGAAGCTAAGCTAAAAGTAAGCTAAAGCTAAGCTGGATCTAAGCGAAAGCTCAGCTAAAGCTAAGCTAAGGCTAAGCTAAAGTTAAGATGAAGCTAATCTAAATCTGAGCTGAAGCTAAGATAAAGCTAAAGCTAAACTAAAGCTAAGCTAAAGCTAAGCTAAATCTAAGCTAAAGTTAAAGCTAAAGATAAGCTAAAGCTAAGCTAACGCTAAGCTACAGCTAAGCTAACACTAAGGTGATCGATGAACTAAAGTTAAGCTAAAGCTAAGCTAACACTAAGCTGAAGCTAAGCTAAAGCTAAGCTAAAGCTAAGCTAAGGCTAAGCTAACACCAAGCTAACACTAAGCTAACACTAAGCTAAAGCTAAGCTGAAGCTAGGCTGAAGCTAAGGCGAAGCTAAAGCTAAGCTGAAGCTAAGCTAAAGCTAAAGCTAAAGCTAAGCTGAAGCCCAGCTAAATCTCAGCTAAAGCTAAGCTGAAGCTAAGCTAAAGCTAAGCTAAAGCTAAGCTGAAGCTAAGCTAAAGCTAAGCTCAAGCTAAAGCTAAGCTAAAGCTACGCTAAAGCTAAGCTAAAGCTAAGATAAAGCTAAGCTAACACTAAGCTAAAGCTAAGCTGAAGCTAAGCTGAAACTAAGCTAAAGCTGAGCTGCAGCTAAGCTAAAGTTAAGCTAAAGCTACGCTAACATTAAGCTGAAGCTAAGCTAAAGCTAAGCTAACGCTAAGCTAACACTAAGCTGAAGCTAAGCTAAAGCTAAGCTAAAGCTAAGCTAAAGCTATGCTAACACTAAGCTAAAGCTAAGGTAAAGCTAAAGCTAAAACTAAAGCTAAGCTAAAGCTAAGCTAAGGCTAAAGCTCCCAGGGGACTGGGGGAACCGCGGGGCGGGGACTGGGGGAACAGCCCGGGGCGATTAGCATTGCCCGGCCCCTTCAGCTAACAGAGTAAGAACCCGTCCAGGCAGAGCCTAGGTAGGGAATGAAGCTTAGCAAACTGAGGTCAGGGTGGCCAGAGCTAGCATTCAAGAGCAGACACCAGTACGCACGTAGCAAAGCAACAAACATGATGAGGAAGACGAAGGTAGAACGAGGATGAGGACTGCGGGGGGCGAGGAGGAGGAGGGGGAAGGGCATGGAATCGCCGCATTATCTTGCTTGTGCTACCTCCGCGTCCGTACTTTTGTGGGGGGCTATCGAATTCTCGCGCGCTCAGTTGAAGATGTGGCATTGTATTATGGGTACATTAAGCAGTTGTGTAGAGCTCGAAGTGTGAGTCCTTTCGTAAGTTGGTTAAGCATCACAAGCGCACACGCTGGGGCAACTCGTGCCCTGCTGCGTCGTCTTGCTTGCATTGCGCCCCTCTCGGCTCCAGAATGGCCCTATTCGGACTTCGAGCTCTGCGCGCCCTACTGGTGTATGTTCGAACTGGTTTTGAGCGTAGACGGTGAAAAAAAAACACAGGTTGCTTTGATGCCCCTAACCGTCGGCTTTCAATGGTGAGTGAATTGGCTGGGCCGATAAGTATTGGGGTGCTTGTGGAAGTTTTAACGCGTCATGGGGCGCGTCAGAATCGTGGCAAGCGGGCTGCCTCACATATCTTTCAGAGCCGCCACGCGCTTCCGCGCACCACCTCTATCAATCGAGCCCCTTTCCCTCCCCCTTTCCATAGCCGGTTTGGGCCCGAAGCTTGCGAAGTGTCACAGCTGCTTCACCTCACTTGCATATGTGCTTCGGCATGGCGCCCAACAAGCGCAAGGGTGGCACCTCGACCGCGCGGGACAGGAAGATGGCCAAGGCGAGCCAGGCGATCCAGGAGTCGAACGCAGAAGCTGGCAGGGTCACAGTGATCGACTGGATGGACAAGAACCATCTAAGATCGCTGAGTTGGCGATCTGGTTGATGGGGGGGCGGTTTAAATGCTGCAGCCAAGGAGAAGGTTGAGGGGGAGATGTCGCGCGGGGCCCTGGCCATTGCAGATCTCCCCAGAAAATGGATAAAGGACTTCCTTCTGGAGCTAGAGCCCTCCTTGGACGGTGACCTGCTGCAGAAGACCTACGAGAATTACCCTTCGAAGATCCTGGCCTCGTGGGAGCTGGCCCAAGCAATCCCCAAAGACGAGCCTGATGGCAAGCCGTGGAAGGTGGCGAAGTACTACCCCAGGAACTACACCGGCCTGGAGCACGTTGCCCACCTGCGCTACAAGGCGCTCGGTCACCGCCTGAGGCGTTTCGCGAAACTGCTTGCTGCTATGAAGGCTGAGTTCGAGGTGTGCGATAAGAAGCAGATGAAGGAGCTCGTCGCGCCCTTGCCCATCGACAGCGTCGGCGCGCGAGCCGCCAAGCCCAGGCTGACCGAGTTGGGCGACGAGACGGACGAGACCGACCTGGTGCATCCGTCTGGGCTTCGGGCCACGCCTTGTGTTTTGAAACGCTTGCCCGTCTTTGCGCAAATTCTGATGAGAGTCACCCAGACGTTTCTCCTGTCTCGCCTCGCTGTCCTGCTTCTTCTTTGTTGCGTGATTTACCCCTGGTCCAGTGCGAGAAGGCGCTGGGCATCGACTTGAACTCAGTCTTTACTTGCAACTTGTTCGACGATGGCGCCACAGTGACCAACTCCCTCGGCCTGAACATCAAAGTGGTGGACATTCTGAGCCGCGCGAAGGTCAGGCTGTCCCGTCCAGACACCACTTTGTTCATCAAGGCTGGTTGGGATGCAGTGAAGGGCGAGGATGGCAGCCCTTCGAAGTCGACGCCATCAGTAGGCGCAGGTAGCTCCCCTCAGCTCGCCCTCGGGGATGGCCCAGTTACCCTTGCTTTGTGCGATCGAGCCTCGAGCGCCTCGCTGGGCGACTCTCCAGGGCCCGTGGTCAGCCCGCAGCCTGCAGGTGGCAGTCAGGCCCAGAGCCAGATTTTACCAAGTGGCTCGCCACCCGCCACGCCGCCGCCGTTTTCGAGGAGCATGTCCTTGGGCGTCGAGCCCACTGCTGGCGAGCTCAACTTTGGCGACCTCTAGGTCGGCAGATTGGAATGCACGATCCGCATGGGTCGCTTCAAGCACGGGGTCGGCTTGAGGCAGGCATCTCTCTCGCCAGCCTTCTAGAGGCTTTTGATTTTGATTGTCGCAGTCCGTATTGCTTTGAGCAGTCGTCTGCCGAGGCGTGCCACACCTGTTTTTTTGTTTTTCTTCAGACGCTGCAATGGTCCACTTCTCAGGTTGGTGGACGGCGTCAGCTCGCCGTCGGGAGGCGCAGGACATGC